ACCCTCCTCCAGATAAGTCCCCTTTCCATTCCACCATTTTCTTACTTCACTCCTTCCGCCACAGATCAAGGTTGCTTGGGTTAGTTTCAGAGGAAAGGAAATCAACAAGCAAAAACCATTCTCAACTCTCAAGCCTCCACCACCTCCCTTTCCCCAAACCTCTTCATTGGAATAACCTATGATGTGATGAAAACAAGCGATTGTCTTTAAAAGTCAAATGTGTCCTGCCTACTTCGGAATCATTAGGATTTGCCATTTGATGTAGTCGTGCCATCTATGGGGGGAAGGGGGGAATAATTGTCTCTCAACACTGCTCCTCTTTTCATAAGAGGAATTCAAAAATGTTCTTCCTTTCCCCCTCCTCCCCTTACTCCCCAAAAGTCCCAGACACATCATCAACTGCAAATCTCCTTTTTTTTTAAAAAAAAAAAAATTGTTTCTAAGAATCCTTATTTGGTAAATCCTAATTATTCCAGGATCTCAAGCTGAGTTCAAGAGCATTTCGTAATGTCTATGAGCCACACATATTGTTGGAGGTGACTGGCTGTGTGTGTATGTGTGTTTCAACATTTACAAAGTCTAAAAATACATACGTCTCTCACAGGCAACAAGCCCAAGTTCTAATAAACAGCAATTCACTTGCAGGTTAAGCTGAGAACCAATTCCCTTCCACGCAGAGTGACATGTCTGTTATCCAGAAGCGAGTAGAGTCAGCATTGCAGCCAGCTGGAGAATCAGACATTGTGCAGGGAGGCCAGGAGGAAGGCGAGGGCACGGGGAGGTTGAGGGGGGGACAGGAGAGCAGTGGGGCAGGGGTGTCAGCTGTTTGCCTTGATCATGCAGGGTCATTGGGACATGTGTGGTGGTGCATGTGCTGTGGGCAGAGGGGTCCCCACAGTGTAAAGCCTGGGTGACCAGGGTGCAGATGAAAGAATGTGCTTCTGAGACACACTAATAAGCACTGAAAAAAACTCCTGCAGGTCATACGACCTGCATTTAGCAACGGACTTTAATGGGAGCAACTGCATTTGAACGGTTACATAGGTCTGTGTGTACAAGCTACAGCCACCCGTAGAAAGACGTGCACAGATAGATACATGTTTCCATGTGGAGAGAAGGCTTATGTGCTTTGCTTCTGATTTGGACCAATACCGGAGGCTGTTGGAGGCAGCATTGGGAAGCAGGGACTGCAGGATTGTTTGTTAAGCTCAACATGGGATGGTGATGCAGGGAGTGGAAGCCAGGAGATGGGGGAGAAAAGAGCGAAACAGACAGGAGAGGGAGAAACTGATCTAACGCAAACTGAGCAAATGCAGCTCTTTGGGAAATGGTCATGTCTGGGAAAGAGCATCAGTTCTGTGCCCCCCTCCCAACATTCTTGGTGCAAACGGTTGAGTGATGGCTGAACATGTTTTGAATAGCTAAGTGACTTCATTGAGCGATGGTCTATTTGACGCATACTGCATTTGGTGCCCTTTCTCAATCCAAACTGCTGCCTCGAACATAGTCTGCATAGCAGCTCTATGCTGAACACTATATGCTCTTCCCCAGCCAGAGAATCAATATCGGGAAATTAATAGGGACTGTTTTAAACACACCCCTCCTTTAAAAAAATGAAGAGCCTTTCATGCAGCGAGTCATTACCAGCAGAAAGACTTCCATTTAATTAAACATTTATGGCAGACTTTTATTCCAAAAGAGAAGAAAAGCAAAGTGAATGAAGGCTGCTTTAGGGAAATGCTCACAGTAGCAATTCGCTTCCCTTGGACTTTAGTTAGATGGATGGAGATATGGGGCCAAGGGGTTGGCGGGGAGGCAGGACATTCTTTCAGGAGAATGAGGCCCAGGACCCGGGGGACTTGGTATACATATATATACTTCCTGAGGGTTATATCTGCAAATTCTTAATACTATGATCTTTTTAACATTTAATCGTTCCCAGAAGGCAAGAGGACTAGAGGGAGCTTTGGATCATTTTTGCATTAAAAAGCTTAAGTATTTTCATTAAAACCCATCTGTTTGGTGTCCACATCCCCAAACGTGCTGCCCAGCCAACCCCTTTAACTTTCTCTCCAAGCCACACACCCTCTCTCTCCCCGAATCATCCTTAAAAAGGTTAGAATTGCAACCCTTCCCAAGGGTTGTGTGATGCACACAGGAGCTGTGGGTTTGGCCCCTCTCCCTGGGCACGGGGCCTCTAAGCAGTGAGGGCAGGGCTGGGCCAGGCTCCCGTCGGCACTAGAATTCTATTTTCACTTGTAGCCGAGGCCCAGGCAGGAAGGGTGAGTGCTCAGGGCCCCCATTCAACCTGGCCGTTCATTGCCAAAGCCTCTGTCTACATGGGGCTTTGCAGGCCCAGGACCCCCTTAGGAAATCAGGCCTTGGCTGCTTAGGAAGTAGTTTGAAGATGTTAAGTCACTTATTTTCAAAGGCTGTGCTGATTTCCAAAGATTGTAAGTGCACTTTTTTCTGGAGGTTGGCCCAGATGGCCTCGTGTGCTTGCTTTTTTCTGAGCATTCACAATAGGGTCGTCCTTTATGGAAATCAAGTCATCAGTGCTTTGGTTTCCCCCAACCTACATTTTTTGTGAGAAACTGGACTTTCGAAAAGATCCCCCGTCACCTCTTTATCATGCTTCCTGCCCGTACCTGAGAAGTTGTGAACAAATTTCAGACCTTCTACCCCAAAGGCTGCTAATGACTCCAGACAGAGCACAGCCCTGTCTGCTTGTGCTCTCTGCTGCTTTCACTGGGGCGTTTGCTCTTTAGATGATTTTTGTTGTTGTTTACTTCTTGATGAAAATAAGAATCGAAAAATATTTCCTTGCCTCTCTTGCTGCTCTTGAAATGAACTGGTCTTCTGAGGATGNTGTCACCTCTTTATCGTGCTTCCTGCCCGTACCTGAGAAGTTGTGAACAGATTTCAGACCTTCTACCCCAAAGGCTGCTAATGACTCCAGACAGAGCACAGCCCTGTCTGCTTGTGCTCTCTGCTGCTTTCACTGGGGCGTTTGCTCTTTAGATGATTTTTGTTGTTGTTTACTTCTTGATGAAAATAAGAATCGAAAAATATTTCCTTGCCTCTCTTGCTGCTCTTGAAATGAACTGGTCTTCTGAGGATGAGAAGGGGCAGGACCACTTGTTAGGGGTGGACACAGTGGGAGGGGAGAGGAATCCAGAAGAAACTACCACCTTTATGTTTTCCCTCTGCAGAGTGAGTAATAGCAGTATCCCTGTGTGAACCTGAAACCCCTGGCAAGCTGGTGTCCTTAGTGGGATGGAGGGGGTTAGGGGACAGTCTGCACGTGGACACAGGTGGGTGGAGAGCGACAGAAATTCTTGAACTTTTCACAAAAGTTGCGTTAAGAGCCTCCGGATGGAGAGACGAATTGGCCATTTCAATAAAATCTACAATAGGGCACTAAAACAGCTTGTTCAGGCAACGTAGCTGCGGGCCGTGTAGTGGCTGCCTGCCTAAGACATTCACCTCTGTGGTCACTGAAAGGAATCACTGTCTCCAGGGGAAGCAAGAAATTCACTCGTGTTTATTCCTGTCCCTCTTACCCTGTCCCAGCCGCACCTCACCCCCAGAGGATTTCCAGCCCTGCAGAGGAGGAGGCCCCAGGGTACTGCGTGGTCTGCAGCAGAAACGCACACGGCTTTCTCTCTCCCTCTCTTGCCCCTTCCCTTGCTGTGAGGCACAGCCAAAATCTTTCTATGTTCAGACTGCTAATTCCCTCTGCTGCATTTCCAAGCAACTCTTCCTTCCATAGTCTCCTGTCTTCCCCTCCATGCACTGCTTCTCACGGAGGCTCTGCTGTCCTTCTGCATCCCTGCTCTCTTTGAGCAAGTTGTGTCTCGATTTTCCTGAATTGTCTTTTGCAAGTTCATAGCTGCATAGGCTTTGCTAGGCCTGCAAGGTGGCGAGTGCTCCATGCTGGGTTCAGCCAAGGCTCTCTTGTTCTGAAGAAGGAAAGGGTATGTCTTGTATGTTAGGAAAGCCAACTGCCTTTCCCAGACACTCGTGCCTTTAAGTGTGGACAAGCTGAATATGGAAGTTACTCATGGACTTTCATACTGTGTGTACACATGGCTCCATGATCCACAAGATAATTTGACTGTCTTTTGGCACTTTGCACACAGTAGGTGCATAAAAATTATTTATCAATGGATTGACTCAGAAGTTCTTAAAATTACTGAAATTAATTCAAGCATCATAAGGACATGTGACTGTGCCAATCAAGTAAGAGAGGGGGTGGGAATGAGGAAATCGGGCCGGTTTGTTTGTTCTTCCTGGAACTTTTTTTTTTTTTAAAGAATAATAATGAGTCATGAATTCATTATTATAAAATAAGAGTATTCCAAAGGAGTCAGTCATTGGAGTTGCACAGCTCCTAATTGGCTGAAGAAAAATTATCAGTACATTCAGCCTTTACAGGGAAGGAAAAAATAACCCATTGATTTTCTTCCCTTTTCTGCTTTTAAAGTATATCAAAGGCCAGTTTGATCTTAATACTCACCAGAATAGACACTCTGGGCAGAGAGCAGGCATTCTGGACCAGCCCTAGTTAGCTTCCCCAGAAGCTTCTGTTCTTTACCAAACTTGCCCACCAATTCCCAGGACCCTGAGAACAGTCCCCAAGGTCTTGGGTTCTGCTCAGCAGTTTTCCATAGAACCAGGCCCAGCATCCCAGCCATTTTCACCTTAGAATGAGGAACAAGCCCTGCAAGTCCCTGGCATTCACACTGCCCTC